TCAGCTACCCCAGTTTTGGCAATACTGTTTCAAGGCAGACTCTGAGGCAACATTAATAGCCTGAATTTGTGCTAAGAGCTCACAGAATTCTCCAATGGGCTCAGCTGTGTTCACCATTACTTGTCACCTATGAGATTTGATTTCAGGAAACAGAAAGGAGACGGTCCTACATCCTACCTGCCAAACCCTACTTGTGTGAAATTCCCTTAATGGAACACCAAGCCCTTCCTTCCACAGTGAGAAATCTGTTTGAAAGTGTAAACCCTCAGGACATCAATTCTTATCATAACAATTCTATAGTACATTATAGAATTAAATACAGACATGCAGGCCCAGCGTGAGGGTGCACACCTGTAATCCCAGCACTTTGAGAGGCTAAGACAGGAGGATTGCTTGAGGCCAGGAATTCAAGACCAGCCTGGTCAACATGAGACCCCATCTCTACAAAAAGTTTTAAAACTAGCAGGATATGCTTGCATATGCCTGTGGTCCCAGCTACTCAGGAAGCTGAGGCAGGAGGATCTTTAGTCCAGGACGTTGTAGCTGCAGTGAGCTGTGATCACACCTCTGCACTCCAGCTTGGGTGACAGAGTGAGACCCTGACTCAAAAATGAATAAATAAATACAGACATGCATTGTTTAGCAATGGGAATACATTTTGAGAAATGTGTCATTAGGTGATTTTATCATTGTGTGAACATTATAGAGTGTACTTATACAAACCTAGATAGTAGAGCTTTCTATATATCTAGGCTATATGGTATAGATGACTGCTCATAGGCAACAAACCTGTAGAGCATGTTACTGTTCCAAATACCATAGCTAACACAGTGCTACAATCCTATGGGACCATCATATATGCAGTCCGACACTAACAGAAATGTCATTATGCGGCTCATGACTTATATTTATGTATATAATATATATTCATATAAATATGTGTATCTTATGTAACATATATATCTTTTCTATAACATTATAGAATGTATTATACAATTATAAAACATGCAATTCTATAATATAATAACTTTTTTAATAGACAAAATATATGAAGCCCTGGACTTAAGGCAAAGAAGGACAATGATTCTTAAGAGATGGAAAACAAAATGAGAAGAAGGCTACAATTGCCCCAGTCTCTGCTTTGCAAACTTCCAGGCCATGGAGAGGGTTTTGTGCTTGATTGTCAATGTCTGTCCTGGGCTCAGAGAGGGTCAAAAACAGCCCCCAACCACGTATTCCCCATTCCTGCATGATTGTTAAAATCTTTGGCTTTTCTGTACTCTGTTATCCTGCCTTCTTCCCCACAGTCTAAAATTTTCCCATTCTCTACCAGGTAGAGAAAATGTCACAGCAAAAGCACAGAAATTCTAACTTGCTGGACTTTTCACTTCCTATTAATATTACTTTATATTGGACAATACATAAAATGTTTTACATATACTGTATCAATTGTGCCTCATGATTGCCCGTTACATCAGTTAACACACTTTCAACTCCAATTAACAGAAACACCCATTCAAAATGGCTTAAACACTAACGGGGCTTATTTTCTCTGCCATCAAAATGTCTGCAATAAGGTACCTTCACAATTTGTTAATTCAGTTCCTCAAAAACATCATCCAGACCTGAGATTGTCCCATCTTTCTTTTCTGCTGGTCAGCTTTGTGCTTTATGGATCAAGCTGGGTGCCACATGTCCCCAGACACTACATGTGGACACCACAATGTCCTCTAGTGCAGCCACTGTTCCTCTGGCCTTTTCAAGATTTTTATGGCTAGGAAGTAGCAAAGCATCCTCTCTAATTCACATCCCCTGACTCTGAAGCCAGTGCCGATTTTACTATTCTAAGCAGACTGTCGGATGACCCTGCGCTGGTTACGGTTAACAACAAAGGCGATTTGTTGACTCTTCTTCAGCAAGGAATTTAAAATAGTAATTACCAGGTTCGACTTCTCTCAAAGAGGAAGTTGAAATTTAGCTTTTACCTGCAGTTCTCTGCTGTGACTTTGGAGCAAATCTATTCAACATCACATAGAAAACGCTAATTGTATCGCATAGTTTGGGGATAAACTAATTCTGTTATTGCTGCTGCACATGCTAGAACACACCTAATTATAGGGTGTGAGGAATACACACTTCATCTATGACTACACAGCCCAGAACGGCTGGGCAGGTTTTTGAGCTCACTGCCTCTGGCAAAGGAGACATAATCATCTTTGTTCAAGCTGGTAATTTATTCTGATGACAAAGTTATGTTCTTATGCCCTGTCATAATGTAAAAAGAGAGAGAGAGAGAGAAAATAAATACCTATCAGGACCCAAGTGCTATAGCCAGCCCTTGAGAGATTATATACACGATACACAGCATAGCGGTCAAGAACACAGACCCTGGCACCTCACTGGCATTGGCCGGGTTTCAATCCTAGCTCTGACCTTTATTAATTGTGTAATCTTGCCCAAATTGTTTAACTTCTCTAGGTCTGACTTTTCTCATCTGTGAAATGGGGATACTGATTATGACATTATCTATCTGACACAGTGTGTGAAGCACTTAAAACTATCTGTGGCATATAGTAAGTACTAAGTATTACTAATTTACCTTGTTTCCTCATTTATTTGAGTGTTTCTAAAAATTCTGTAGAATGGATGAAATTGGGATACCAGAGCTATTTTGAGGATGATAAAAGACATGTGTGAAATACTCAATTAAAGATTGCAAAAACCCATCCCCCATGAGGAGACAGAGGTCAAGAGAGTAAGTGACTTATCAGGTTACCCCAACTGGCACTGGCCCTGCTGCTCCACAGAAACTCTTCCCTGGATACACTTTTCTTCTTCCCATTGCTTCTGGTCCAAGCTCATCACGCCTCTCTCCTCGGTGCCTGCAAATGGCGGCCCGCTACACTGAGAATCAAGTCCAGCCCAGGACAATTTACAAAGGATCTGCCTGTGGTACCTCTCTAACCTCATCTCCTGTTCCTCCTCCTCTCACTCACTCTAATTCAGAAGTTAGGGCCTTCTTTTTCTTATTTCCTCATGGTCAAGCTTATTCTCATCTTGGAACTTGTGCCTGAACTCATAGATGACTCCTTCCTATCATTCAGAACTTGGTTACTTGTCACTCATCCCAGATCCCTTCCCTTGTCACACACCCCAAAGTAGCCATTGGCCACTAGTTACCAGATCACTTTAACTCCCTGTCTAGCATATCATCTGATCACTCCTTTGTCATATTTCCCCACATACATGTGAGACTCATGAGAACAGGGACCTTCTCTGGTTATGTCCCAAGATGTAAGAATAGTCCTCAACATATTGCAGGTATTTCACAAATATTAGTTGAATGGATGCATAGGATGTGAATATATGTTTTGCTTCCAATTCTAGTGCTCATTCTCCTACAAGTCATTTGCAGGGCTGCTGCTAATATCAGTAACTCCATTGTGAGAATTGAGAAAAGTACCCCCTCTGAATAGATGAATTGTAAAAAGGTGAAAATAGAAAAATTGTAAAAATTTCTGAGTAGACCAGATAGAACATGGCCCTCACACTCTGTGGATCATGTAGAAAAGGTACTCATCTCTTGGGCTGATACAGCTCGCTCAATATCACCTGACCCGACCAGTGCCCACATGTAGTGTACAACCAGTGCAGAGAGGTAGGGGAGTATGTTTGTGTGCCACATGTATGTGCATGGTATGTATGCACACATCATTTTGAAAATGTTCCTGGCTGCTAAATTTTTAGACGGTACCAAGTGTAAAGCCACAAAACATGTCAAAACATCAGAGGCCATCATGCATTCTCTCTCTTCCATATGAGGCCAGATGATAAGGAATTGACAGTGACATATGTTTATTCTCTGCTATGGTTCAGACCACATCTAAAGCATTTTGTCAGCTCAGAGCACCCCATTTGAAAATAAACTGAAACACTTCTAAATGAAGGCCCCCTAGAAGTGAAGGACACCCCAAATTATGTCTGACTAGAGTAGTTGAAGCCTGGAGATATTTTGCTTAGAAGAGTCCCAGGAAGACCTGACGGCCATCTACAAACCTTAAGGGCTAACACAAAAACAATACATTTCACCTATTCATTTTTTCACCAACTCTCTATCAAATGTCTGTGATGTGTTCTCCATGTTGGAGTTAGAGTAACAAACAAAGTGAAACATAAAATCCCTGCCCTCACAGCACCTACATTCTACATTCACTAGGTATGGGAGACACACAGCAAACAAGCAAATACAACACAATGAAATATAGCATCGAGCTCAGGCTCTGTGCAATTTATAAATTTATTATCTAATAATAAAATATTAGATAGTGACAAGTGCCATGAAGAAAGCAAGTGGCTGGGAACAGGAGTCAGAGGAAGCAGGTAGTTTAGTTGAGTGGTCAGAGAAGCCTTCAACAAGATAGCATTTGAGCTGAGACCCACATGAAGGGAAAGAGCTGAGTTTTGCTCTGGGGGAAAGCCACGTCTGGCAGATAGAACAGCAAGTGCAAAGGCTTAAGGCAAGAATGAGCTTGGCACACTCATGGAAAGAAACAAAAGGACAGTGCAGCTGAGACTCAGTGATGGTGGACTCAGGCAAGGTCTAGATCTTATACCGCCTGGAAGATCATCATAAACAGTCTGGATTTTTTTCTAATTTGTTTAAGCAGAAGAGAAATATGATACAATTTACATCTCTAAAGATGACTTTGGTTGCTGGGGGAGAATTGATTATAGAGCAGCAAGAGTTCTCTGTGTTCCATGAATAGAACTAAGATCAAGGGAGAGAGCCACAGGAGACAAATTTTAGCCCAAGACAAGTGCATTCTAAATTAATGAGCTCATTTAAAGGTGGTGAGTGTCCTCTACTGGAGGTATTCAAGAGAAGCCTAGATGTTTCTTTCCGGGAGGAGGCTGTGATTGTTAATTTTACGCATCAACTTGACTGGGCCACAGGGTGCCCAGATATTTGACTAAATATTATTTTGGGGTTATCTGTTAAAGTGTTTTTGATTGAGATTAATATTTCAATCTGCAGACAGAGAAAAGATTACCCTTCCCAATGTGTGTGGGCATCATCCAGTCCACTGAAAGCCAGACCAGAATTTCCATTATCAGCTCTCCTGGGTTGCCATCTGATAATCTTTGGATTTCTCCATATCATGTGAGCCAATTTCTTATAATAAACTTCTTCATTCATTACACATGTGCACATATATCCTATTGGTTTTGTTTTTCTGGAGAAACAAAACAAATTCAGTAACACAGAGAGGAATGTTACAATTAGATCTCTGGCATCAGAAGAGATCTTAACCTAAAACTCCTGTAGAACTCTTCCAGTCCTAGAGGAGAAGACACAGCCCAAAACTTTGGACTTTATGGTGACTTTATTTCCCTTCTGAAATGTGTGCTCAGGTGGGGTTTTTCTTTCTTTCCTATTTGTTTTTTAAGTAAAAGAATAACAATGCATGAACAGGGTAAAATATCCAACCATACAGTTTTAAATGTAAAAGCAAAGACCTCCCATCAACCCCTTTTACCCATAGGTAACTACTATTGACAATTTCTGATGTATCCTTCTAAAGAAATTATATGCTTGTCTCAACAAATATACTTGCATAGATCTTTTCATTTACACAATTACACTCTACATAGTTTCATGCCTTGCCTTTTTTACTTAATAATATGTAAGATGCTTCTCTTTTTTTTTTAACTCTTCTGTCCTTGAATTGTTTGAAAATACTGGATAGAGGTCTTCCTATCTTAAGAGGGTCACACCAAGATAGGTTATTTTTTTCTTCAACTTGTTTTAAGTTCAGGGGTACATGTGCAGGATGTACACGTTTGCTACACAGGGAAATGTGTGCCATGGTGGTTTGCTGCACAGATCATCCCTTCACTTAGGTATTAAGCCCAGCATCCATTAGCTATTCTTCCTGATTCTCTCCCTCCTCACTTGCCTCTTATTACCAACAGGCCCCAGTGTGTGTTGTTACCCCTTGTGTGTCCACGTGTACACATCAATCAGCTCCACTTATAAGTAAGAATATGAGGTGTTTGGTTTTCTCTTCCTGCGTTAGTTTGCTGAGGATAATGGCTTCCAGCTCCATCCATGTCCCTGCAAAGGACATGATCTCATTTCTTTTTATGGCTGCATAGTATTCCACGATGTATATTTTCTTTATCCAGTCTATCATTGACGGGCATTTTGGTTGATTCTATGTCTTTGCTGTTGTGGATAATGCTGCAGTGAACATACATATGCATGTATCTTTATAATGGAATGATTTATATTCCTTTGGGTATATACTCAGTAATGAGATTGCTGGATCAAGTGGTATTTCTGCCTCTAGATCTTTGAGGCATTGTCACACTGTCTTCTACAATGGTTGAGCTAATTTACATTCCCGCCAACAGGCTAAAAGTATTTCTTTGTCTCCACAACCTCACAAGCGTCTGTTGTTTTTTGACTTCTTAATAATTGTCATTGTGATGGTGTGAGATGGCATCTCATGGTTTGGATTTGCATTTCTCTAATGATTAGTGATGTTAAGCTTTTTTTCATATGTTCATTGTCTACATGAATGCCTGCAGACCAGCCCTGGGCAACATGATGAAATCTCATCTCTCCCAAAAATTCAAAAAATTATCCAGGCATAGTGGGACACACACCTGTGGTTCCAGCTACTTGGGAAGCTGAGGTGAGAGAATCACTTGAGCCTAGGAGGCCGAGGTTGCAGTAAGCTGAGGTCATGCTACTGCACTCCAGTCCAACCTGGGTGACAGAGTAAGACCCCCATCTCAAAAAAAAATTAACGGAAGATGAGAAATGGCTTATGTGTATTGAAGCCCTATTCTGAGCCAGGTTCTGTGCCTTTGACATTGCTATATATCATGTCCTCTGGCCAATCAACTCCGTGCTGGACATGAGATCGTGAAAACACATTCCTTCTCTCCATGCTGCTCTAATTGTTCCTCCTCTTCCTTTCCCTCTCCTGTTTTTCTTTTTTCCTTTTCCTTTCTTTATTCTCAGAGGCTTGCTGAGTCCAGGTATGAGGTAAGAAGGATCTTGGCCCACGTGTGGTATTGGTAAAAGACTGTGGAGTTTAGAGTCAGACATGGATTTGAATTCTGACTTGACTATGTTGTGTGACCTTGGGCTTGTGTGTCATTTAACCTAACTGCAGTAGGCAACTTTCAAATGGCTCCCAGTGATCGCTGCCTCCTGGTACTCTCACCCATGCATAATCACCTCCTTTTAATTATGGGCTAGACTTAGTGACTTGCTTCTCATGAATAGAATGTGGCAAAATTTGATGGGATGTCACTTTTTTTGAGAGAGAGAGAGAGACAGAGAGGTTCGCTCTTGTCTCCCAGGCTAGAGTGCAATGGCACAATCTTGGCTCACTGTAACCTCCACCTCCCAAGTTCAGGCAATTCTCCTGCCTCAGCCTCCCAAGTAGCTGGAATTACAGGCACCCACCACCATGCCCAGCTCCTTTTTGTATGTTTTAGTAGAGAAAGGGTTTCACCATGTTGGCCAGGCTGGTCTTGAACTCCTTATCTTAGGTGATCTGCCCTCCTTGGACTCCCAAAATGTTGGGATTACAGGCAAGAGCCACCACACCCAGTGGATGGGATGTCATTTCTGAGATTCCATTAAAGAATAGGACTTCTGCCTTTTCTGAGCCCTCTCTCTTTTCGTCTCCCTTGCTTGATCTGATGAAGCCAGCTTCCATGTTGTGAGCTGCCACATGGAGAGGTCCAAAGCCTGCAGTTCAACATCCTGGGAGGAACTGAATCTTGCTGACAACCATGTGAGTGAGCTTGGAAGCAGTTCCCACCCTTATGAGAGACCTCTTTTTTGCAGCACATGAGAGACCCTGAGCCTGAGGGCCCAGCTAAGCCAGTCTCAGGTTCCTAACCACAGAAATTTTGATACAGTGAATGTTCATTGCATTAAATCACCAAATAGGTGAGTGGTATTTGTTACACAGCAATAAATAACTAATACACTAAATGTTGGTTAGTTCGTCAGGGGAGGAAAAGAGGCAGAGCCTTCTAAGCCAGGCTAGAGGGATTGGTTCAGTCTTTAGAAGGTCCTCATCCCTACTTCCTCCTGCCACATCCCTCCCAAATGGACAAGGGGGGTGTGGCAAAGGGCCAAGGGAACATGCCTACTCTGTGCTCTGAGTACACAAGACACCAGAGTTCTGTGCCCAGATGGACATGGCTTGGTTCCAGGACTGGAAGACTTTCTCTTCTGGGTAGAGCGTCTACTTGTGTGCACATCCTTGAAGCCCACAAAGCGGCCCAGAGACAGCTGCTGTGAGTGGAGAACGGGCTATGCCTGGAGATGTGTATTAGGGTACCCATCATTTGTTAGCTGGATTTTCAACTATAAACATGGTTTGGTGCCTCCATTAGCACTCTTGCTCCCAGCCCCACAAGCGTTAGAGGAGGCGCTGAGTGGGGATAACAATAACTGAGAACCAAATGGGATCGTTTATTTGAAAGTACCTATCATAGAGTATGACATCCAGTGACTGATCAATAAATTATAGTTCACTTCCTGCGTTTAGTGTCTCTGTGACCTATGCAGAAAAACTAGGACTCACTGGATTTGCCACGTGGATCAGCATTCTTCCCGAAGAGTCCCTGGCTGACAGTTCTGGCCTTCAGGGGTGAAAGGTATTTCTAGCCTGTATCAAATTCACAGCTCTACTAAGGGAAGCACCCCTTGAAAACATACTTCTTACAGTGTGGACCAGCTGTGAGTATTGTGACCCTGCCTCCAAGGACACTCTGTAATCTTGGCTACAGTGTTAGGATTTCTTCCTACCAGGAAGTAAGAAGAAGGAAGAAAATCCTGAGCTCCTTGGGAGCTGAAACATGCTGACTCATCTTCAAAGTGTTATTTAGTCAGCAAATCTTTTTGAGAAGGTATAGCAGAAGGAATGAGAATCATCTCTTTCTATGCTGTTAGTGTGAGAACAATCTAAGCTTGAGTATTGAACTTTCTTACTAGCTGTTGGGCAAGTTATGTGACTTCTGTATCCCTCAGCATCTTCATCTGTAAAATGAGGGTTAAGAAATTTCTATCACATAGGGCCATGTCAGGAATAAAAGGGGTAATCATGGATCATGCTTAGGACAGCTCAGACTCCTAACCTTAAAAGGGGGATTAAAAGCAGGATGGACTTCAGGCTTGCAGTGTGGATGGCGTTAGGTTGTACATGCTTAGTCTGGAACCTGCTATACAGAAGAGGCTTGTAGCAGGTTGAATGTGGGCCTCACAAAGTATGTGTCCATCCGGAATGTATGAAGGTATCACTAGGTGAAAATAAAGGTTTTTGTAGATGAAATTAAGTTAAAAATCTCAAGACAAGATTATCCTCAATTAGGGGTGATTAGGGACCCTAAATCCAGTGATAAATGCCCTTAGGAATAGAAAGGGATATGGCAAACACAGGAGAGCACTAGAAGAAGACAGAAGCAAAGATTGTCACTATGCAGCCCCAAGCCAAGAAATGCCTGGAGCCACCAGCAACTGGAATATGCAGGAATTATCTCTTACAACCTCTGGAGGAAGCAAAGCGCTGTGAACATCTGGATTTCAGACTTCTGGCCACTCAGCAGTATGAGAGAATAAATTTATTTTAAGCCACCATGTTTGGGATAATTTGTTACAATGACCCTAGGAAATTATTACAAGGCTTAATAAATGTACACTATTACAATTATCTGTTGCTTTTCTCCCCCCCACTCCTCCAAGGTTGGGAAGCCACCTGCCATCTATGGAGGGAGAACTGTGAAATGCCTGGGCCGGGACCCAAAAGGAAAAGGTCCATCTGGCTTAGCACAGGTCCCCACCCCTGCCCTGCCTCTGACCCGTCCCACCGGGCAGGGTTCCATTTTCAGGCTGCCTTCATTGCCAGGGTTTCTGAGGCTGACAGCACACCCTGAGCCAAGAGATTCCAAGCCTCAGCATGAAGGAATCATTGTCAGCGAGCTCCCAGATTGTTTTGTCACATCCACTTTGCAATATGACAAGTAGGCGTCCAAAATATGCTCCAGGAGGGGGAGCAAGAAATTTTCCAAAAGCGTATGTGGCAGCCCAAGTCGCTGCTAAATCAAATGTCAGCTGAGTTCTTGGCTTCCCTC